GCCAGCTCACCGTAAAACATGGCTTCAAACACAGGACTGCTAATCGACAACACAAACTTGTGAGCAGGAATCACTTGTTTACTTTCACTTTCGCCATTGCGCCCTCCTCGCACAACAAACTTGACATCGCTGAAGAGATCATTGTTGAACATGTGCTTGCTTCTTTCTCTGATAGTTGGTTTTGTTGTTTGCCAGTTTTTCTCGATCACAGACATGGCTATGTGGTTACAATCAGCGAGGTTTTCAGTTCTCTTGAGGGTGTTATTTGTGAGAAACTCGTGAAACTGAATAAGTTGAACTGATTTGTCAGTCAGCGGTGGTCGAACAAAGTTGCATCTCATCTTACTATCGGGTCACGCTTCACGCTAGTCTGATTTTCAGAAACGGAAGGTTTGGGTCCCAGGAACGGTGAAAGCCAAAAAGCTGGAACGCCGGAACGCCGGAACACCGGAATACGTTAACCCGGAACGCCGGAATACTAAAACCAGGAGTACTAAAACCTGGAACACAAAATGACTAAAACCCGCAACGCATAAAAAATCCTAAATGCCGGATTAATAAAACCGGGAACACAAAATTACTTAAGCCAGGAACACAACAGAAACCCTAACGCCGGACTAACTTAAACCCGGAACTTAGGTAAAAACCGGTACTCCAGGGAATGTTAAAACACATGCCATAAGCAGGAGAAATTGTGCACATGTGGTAATCTTTTCCCACCAAAATATAAGTAAGATAATGTATCTTCTGTAGACAGGTGTGCGTTCATCCCGTGCAGTCCAGGCGTAAAGGATTAAATGATCTAATTGTCAGAAAGCTGGACAATGGCAATGTGCTAACAAACGAAGGTGACATTGCTGAGTGCATGAATGAATATTTTCCAAAAGGAAAAGTTCTGGGATGCTCGTCGGAAAGCAGTGAATTAAAGCCCTGAAGGAGACCAATCTGAGCGTGGCTCAAGCTTCATATGACTGCTAAATTAAAGGATACCACTTAAAACGAAATAACTCGATTACCAGCCGCGCTGTTCCAGAGAGGAGCGTTCGCTACCAGACTGGAGTTGAGAAACCGGCGGAAATCGAGCTTAAAAACGTATATAAGAGCGTTTGTTTTATTATTTCTTCGAGCGCATCCTAAAAGATACTTTGACAGCTGAAAAAAGTGATGTTTTGCCATCAACACTCTAAGTGAGACCAGAGTCCACCAGGGGAGGGCGCTTCCACAAGGTAAGTTTTAGATAAGATAAGATAAGATAAGATAAGATGAGATGAGATCAAATGAGATGAGATGAGATGAGATGAGATGAGATGAGATGAGATGAGATGAGATGAGATAAGATAAGATAACTTTATTTATACACGTTTCTTCCATCAGTCAACAAAGTTACTGGACTATCTACCTATCTGCCTACTTACAATAAAAAATAGAAGGAAAAAAAACTGCTTTCATGGAGGCCGCGTCTAAAAATTTACCGTGAAAATTAAGATATTACTTTAAACTGTGGCGACTTAACTTAGATTTGACATCGATCAGTGAAGATGCTTGTCTTAGGTCTATAGGTAAGTTGTTCCACAACTGTACTCCGCTGTACGCAAAATTTCTCTTAAGATAATCAGTTCGAGGTTGAGGAAGAACTAATTTGTTTTCGGTATTCCTTAAACGATAAGCATTTACGTTGTCACGATATACGAATCTTGATCTCAGATAATCAGGTGTCATACATTCAATGTTTTATACATTAGGATAGAGTTCCATTCTAATCTTTGATAGTAGAGTCTTCGCCACCCTGGTGCCCGGAACAAATCATCCTAATTACTGTCATAGCTCGCAGAAATTAAGGTGCGAGTTGCGCGATTTGGAAGCCTTTGCAGTTTTTCAGAAGGGCCCTTGTTACAGTTACCCACACTACATTGCAATAATCAAAATGTGGTTGAACAAGGCTATTATAAACTTTCTCATTTAGCTCGTTTCTTTTCGTCTAAGACGTTCGCGCTTATTGTTTCTGCGCATCCTTACTGCGCACGCAAATTCACACGCCACGTCATGCATGAGAGCGCACGCTAGGTAATAAAATGAACAATGATAGGGCAAGGGCAGATGGCCAGTGCTATAGCTTTGCCTGGATTTAACGATCTTGGACGTTCGGTGACTCCTATTTTTGCTTTCCAGAAACAGATTTTATTTATAATTATCTTCACATTGTCCAAAACTGAACGAAAAATTAATCTGGGAAGTTAGAAAAAAATTCAAGATTTCTGTCCACGACATTTTGCTTTGTCACGCTGGCAAGGAAAACCTTACATAACACTAATTTGATACAGTTTTTCTATGAGAATAAGCTGAAATGGTTTCCGTAATTCCGTTGAATTCTAATCAGGAAATTAAATCACGAAGTGACCTTGCGACCAGTGATCAACGCACTGCCTTTGGGTAAAATTGAGCTAACCTCAGGAAATCCAGGAATTCTTTTGTCTTGGCTTTAGTATTCCAGATTGTTATTTCGTTGTAGCATTTCGGTGTTCCGGGTTTCAATACTAGCCGTTTGGGTTCGGTTCAGAGTTTCTACGAACTCGTTACATCTAAGGAATGAGTCGTATTTTAACGTGAAGCTAGCTTAATATCCTAACGAAAATAACAGTCAATCTTTAAACTTCAGGGCAGAATTTATGGCACCTCCTTGAAATGCTCAGCCGGGAAAGGGGTGTCGATAAAATGGAAGATATTTCACAGTTTCCGAATTTATAAAAATGTTTTATTATTACGATTCTCGGCTTGCACTGTCACGAAATAAAAAAATAATTCGAATTAACAAATTGACGTCAGGTTTTCATGCGTCTGTCCTGTTACTGATCATGAATATCGTCATAACATTGTCAAAGTAGCTGTGGCTCCACGAGGCGATAAAAATGCATGAAAATTAGCCAATGAGCACGCGAGAATTTCTGCAGTTATCGTAAAAAACCATTCTGTGGATAAAGTCAAGGAATTGTGATGTTATTAGACTATAAGTAGTCCCTCTTTCGCTTAGTCCGTCGAGCGATACAGTAAACTGCGAGAAAAAAATTGGGCGTGAAATCCTTCTCGCCCCTAGGAGTTCGCGCGGGCAATTTTTCTTGCGGTTTGCTCTCGCGTCATGCACGACGGACTAAGCGAAAGAGGGACTACTCGTAGTCTATGATGTTATAGGACATTGATAAAGAAGACACTTCTCTAAGTTTTAGGCCTGTGTGTTTTCCTAAACTTCAGATATTAGTCGAAATATTTTGCACAAATTTACAGAGCCCAGGAGTACCTCTCGATACCTCCGTGGTACACGAACATGGCGGCCGGAAAACAGTGTAAACATCTGGAACTTACTTTGGCTATCTAGACGACTGATTATCAGTGCTGAACAAACAAACATTTACATAAGAACTTTTCCTAATACTTTAATTTCTGAATAGGCTAAAAATAACGAGATAAGTATATATTTTTCGACACACACGTTCGTAGCTCTACGTCACGGACCGCCATAACTCTGAAATTCAAAATGCGCTGGTTTCCAGACGAAGCAAGCTACTGTGCTGGATAGTTGTAAACAGATATAAATTTACCCCCTCTTATGCCTGATGAGGATAAAAACTTTGGTGTCCCTTTAGTTTTGGATTTTAGACAATGATGAGGTTACGTGCGAGCCAAAAATTGTTTAAATTTTCTCCCATTTCCTTGGTAAGCAAAGCCCTCCATAGCCTCGGAGCCAAATAAGAATTCTAATATATATAGATATTCAAAAAGCTACCCTGCGCCTTTTTGTAAGAGCAAACGGGAAAGAAACTACAAATTAGAGAGGAAGCCACATCGTCCTGGTCCTCTGTCCTGGTGGAATTGGAATTTGGAGATGTTGGTTTATGTGGAGGGAGGAAAACCGGAGAACCTGGAGAAAAACCCTCGGAGCAAGGCAAGAACAAAGTTAAGAACAAACCTAACCCACATATGGTACCGGGCCGGAATCGAACCCGGACCACATTGGTGGGAGGTGAGCGCTCTCACCATCGCGCCAACCCTGCTCTCCTCAGAAAGGGGTAGGGGAGACGAAAAACACGAGGAAGAATGTATGAGGGTTAACGAATGACTTGTAAACTAACCTGTAAACTAACCTATTCTTTACTTCGGTCTCTTTAGGATGACACAAGCTAAACAGCTCAAAACTGCACCACGTTGTCAGAGTTGCGCAATGCTACTAAAACTAATTTGCACAAAGGAGGGTCTGGCGATTTCATTACATACGTATGACCCAAGTATACATGGAGAAGACAACCGACATGAGCTAGTTTCATTTTTTAAAAGCATGTTCCATATTTCATTTAAATTATGGACTAAAGGGGTTTTAAGTTAAAAGAAATTATCATGATTTGAAAAGGATTCTATGGTTACGTATACAAGCGGGCGATACTTTTGCTTTCGTTTAAGCTGTGCAATATGAGAATAGAAAAATTCTGTTCACACTATCTCAGAAACAAGAGGTCTTTGGAAATATACTTAAGGGAAACATTCGCTCAAATCCTAAAGCCAAAAATCCCTCCTCATTAAAAGGATTCTGAAAAGATGAGTTTCCCAGAGAAGAAGACTACAAGGAGTCCCTCTTTCGCTTAGTCCGTAGAGCGTGAATCGAAAGAAGGTCTCGCTCGACTGACTAAGCGAAAGAGGGACTACTTGTAGTCTGCTAGGAAAGGAGCCCTTAGGTCTACGTGAAAGACTACAGTCGAACCTGCAGTTGCCACGACCTCTCGTAAGCAACCACTTCTCCTTCGCGACCAGTTTTCCAAAATACCGAAAGTTTTCCACTCTCATTACTATATTTCGAATCTCCGGTTGCGACAACCTCTCGTAAGCGACCACGGCCACTTTTAGAACTAAAAGTTTGAAATTTTCTTTTGTTTTAACCTCCCGTAAGCGACCACTTGATAGAAAATGGAGCAGAAATTTGGCAGAAATTGGATAATAAGGTGTTGTAATATTATCGCATTCCTTGGCAGTGCAAAAGACGGAAATTTCTCATATGCATTGGGAAGTACCACATTTTTTTTCCCCTCGAAATTGACCTTTTCATGGTAAATAAAACAGTTAAAAATTTAAAGAAAAATGCACATACACTGTTTTCTATCAGTCTTAAAAGAGACGACCGTTTAAAATGTCTTAAAATTACAGAAAATTAGCACTTATTTACTGCTCAGTCAAGACCAGTTAACAGTTAACATGTAAATCACCAGCATTATAATAGGAATGTCAAAATTAACGCTAGCAAGCCAATCCTTATTAGCTGATGTTTAGTCCTCCAAACGTTTAAAGAACATTAAAGATTAAGGATTGTTTTTTTCGGGGACAAATTCCCTGAACAATTTTTGTTTTCTTTTTTCGGGGGAGGGGTGGGGGGGGGGTAGATATTCTACTGTCACAATCTGAATCTTGACACTCGCCACAATCGGATTGCCTGGAAAGAGCTTCAAACAAATTATTTTTATCTTTCATACAGTCGTTTTGCTTTACTGTCAAAATTCTACTCCGGGGGAAACATAGTAAGTATAAGACACATTTAAGTGCCATTGCCTAACTGCATGATGGGACTGCATTGTTTGATGTTTAGGGAAATGTCTTCAATAATATCTTCCCCTTGTAATGATATTCATTCTTGGCATGCAGTGAATCAAGGTTTTGCCAGGAATCTTTGAGTGGCCGTCCAGTAACAAATATGGGGCCAAAGAGTTTATTCCCTTGGGGGAATATGAAATTTTTCGAAATTGAAGCTTTCTTGGTGCGTTTTCCATGATTCTCAGCCGATAAATTTAATGTAACGATTGGACTTGAATGATAATGCATCGTTGACTTTGTCAAAAACCTAAAATAGATTGAAACAGCTTGTACTAAATCCATCAGTTGTGTTAACACTTCAATCACTGTCTTTGATTGCCACATTTGTCCAACGTTGATCTTACCGGCCATCTCAGGGGAAGTGTTACGGTTCGCCATGGGTGTGCAAATCTGTGTCCACAATCGTCATTTATACAGGTCAGTTGTGAAATCACTCCAATATGCCGAGGCTTTCAAAACACGGTATGTGCTTGCTTAAGTGCAAACGAATCAAGCAGGATGGCTGTTTATCTATAAAGGTTTTTCTGCAAGGGTCTTTAACTACCAGTGTCCATAATGAGGTTGCTGCTCACAAAATGTGTCAGCCTTGAAAGGGAGAAATAAACGTTTTCCTAATTTAATAGAAAACCAGGTGAATGGGGATTCCACCAGGCCCAAGAAATCAAAACTGCAGTATAAAGTGGCTACCAAGGTGCCCTTCAGGTGAGTACAGTTTGTGAGCCCGACAGTGCAATTCACTCTGCAGGATTTTTTTTCTTCACTTCTTCTTTGCGCGAATTTTTTTTCAGTCACCCTCCCTTGCATGAATTGTTTTGTTTCGTTTTTTTCCCCACCCCACTATCACTATTTTAATGGTCCGTCCCTTAAAGGTTTGTGTTTTATGGAAACTCTTCAAATATTCCTGAAGACTCCATGGCGGCAAGTTAAACTGCAAATTAATTAGATTAGACTTTGAGGCGACACAGTGGTTCTTTACAGATTCCTTACGTAGTTCAAAGAGGTAAACTTACGTCTTTCTGTAACTGACGTTTTGTCACCAAAAAGGCTCTCAGGCGTTCAGAAGGGTAATGGGACGAGGAAACTCAGTTCCTTAAGTCTACAGATTTCACGGCGTCTTGTAAAAGTTATACAGTTTTTCATGTGTCTGTTGTTTCAAGTCTTCAGTTAGGTAACGCTGTTTACCTTCAGTAATATCTTATCGTTAGATTTTGCTATCAATACAATTTGAAGTGGTTTCGTGGAATATCAAAACCGAAAAAACTACGATCATTGTTGGCAACAGAGTGAGACCGTACTATCGCGTGACGATGTTATAATTTAATTGGTTCTTGTCATAAAATGAGTCAGAAAAATTATCCAGAATCAACACCAATTTGCCGTTTACCGTTAGCTACTATTGCAGACTACATGATGTTTAGCTGCCTTGCTGGGAACAGCTCCATATAGTTTTAATAAACAAAGCCACTTATCAACTGCTAAAACCAAACTTTGATAAACGTACGCTTGATATCACATATCCGAACGTGAAATAAATTCTAAATTTGTGTTTTTCCCTTTACATCGTTGCCAAAGAAACTTGTTGGATTAACCTTATCATAACTGTTAAGAAGAGTGCTCTGAGTGCAGCTACATTCAGGGGTTTTTAATTCACAGAAAAAATAACTCTTGCACGCCTTGCGTGCCTATGTCTTACACCCTGTCAATATAACACCTGAACAAAGCGCATTATCTTTACCATTATTTTGCCCAAAACAAAATATGGGCCTAGAAATCAGTAGAAGCTTCGAAACGATAATAGGAGCCCCTCATTAACAAAACGGGTTGGTCAAAGAAAATATAAAAGCGGCGTAATAGGACACTGATTCATGCTTGTAAGACTCAAGAAAATCTTTTCTGATTTGGAATAAGATATTTCTTTTCACTCGGATCTTTCACCTGTATCGTTACTCTGAGAATACACAGTATTATTTTTACTTCTGTACAGTGTAACTCCAAGTAAGGAGATGTCTTTGAAGATCTTCTTCATCAGGTGAATACGGATAACCTGCATGAATCAGTGTGATCCAGGCAACCAAATCTGCGACAATCAATGAGCAAACAATTTCTTGAAGCCAGTCTGATGGTCTCTGAAAATCCTACTGGATTGTTTTGAATTGAATTCAAACATTTAAAACTATCGTAAAAGATTCGTCTTGTGTCAGTATCTTGCATTCAAGAAAATCATCAGCAAATTCTTGTCTACTCCGCTGCAAATTCTTATCGCAAATTACTTTAAGGCATGTCAAATCATAATGGTTGTCGCAGTTTTTCTCGCAACGAAATCAGATCCGTAGGAAAGGCTCTTTTATTTTATAGGAAATTGAAACAAGGACTGAATCCCGTATTGTAAATCGTATTTGTGCGATCACAGCAAATATACAAGGCATTACTACTGAATTAGCATTCAGGAATCGAATGTTCAGTGATGTTATTCACATAATATTGTAGAATATTGCAATTGCAACTGCTAAACTACCAAATGATAACAAAATTACAAGCAATTGTAGAGTTAATATATGAAGAAACAATCAATTCTATACTATATAAGAACACTATTTACATCAGCAGGCTTTTTATCGGCCTGTCTCATATCAGATTGAGACTGCCTCACATGTTGAAAAGTTCAAAAGATAACTGTTCAAAGTCAAGAGATTATCTCTTGTCAAAGTCCATTATAGTTCCCCAACCTCGTTCCCAGGGTCTCTCATTTTACCGCCCCCTGGAGCGAGCGAAGAGAGACCCTCTCTTCGCTCGCTCCAGGGGGCGGTAAGATGAGAGACCCTGGGAACGAGGTTGCATAGTTCCCTAGGTGCTACAAATTTAGGTTGAATTGCAAGCTTCTGAATAAACAAATTTATTGAACCTGGGTGATATATTTTAAAATAGAGTGCTTTCATCCTGTGTTTGACTGCTCAGATCGAATAGGTCAATTAAATTAACCGTTTATTTTAAAGTAAAAAGTAACCCTGGAAATTGTCCTCGTTCAACTTTCGTTCCATTGGTACTGTCCAAACTGTTTTTAAAATAAAATCTAACCCCCGAACACACCACAGTACGTTCACCATTTTGACCAAAACAAGAGTTGGCGTCGCCAGAAATGTAGGCTTCCAAACGATGTTTGACGTCTTTCTTTATGTCAACTGGACTGTCGAAGAAAACATTAAAACCATAGTAAGAAACTATATCTGACTCGATATACGCAGAGGAAAATGTTCCTGTTTGGGAACAAAGATCACGATACTCAGTACCAAACAAACGCTTTATCTGAATAGATACAGTATATTCACAATTTTTGCTTCCGCAGAGTGTTACTCCGAGCAAGGAAATGTCTTTGTTGACCTCAAAACGAAGAGCGTCTTTTTTACCAGGTGAATAATGATAACCTGAGTCAGTGTGATCCACGGAACCAAATCTGCAACATCGTTCAAACAATTCCTTCAAACCGTTTCGTTTAGTCTCTGGAAATCCTACTGGAGTGTCTGGAACTGAATTAAAATATTTGAACAGGTTAAAAGCTTCGTCTTGGGTCAGTATCTTGCAGTCAAGAACTACAGAAGCAAATTCATGCTGAGTCATCACTGGAAAACGTATTCCTTTAACAATCCGTTCTCCAAGGATTCTCCTTTTTTTACTACCATCTGCCGATAAGCCTTGTTCTTGACATGTCTTTGTCGCCCACAGATTCACCGCTTTGAACAACTCTATCTCCGGAATATTCAAAGTGTCACGCTCCACCACTGCTTCAAGTAAGGATCTCTCAATTGTCGCAAATCCATCTGATTTCACAGCCTCTTCTGTTTCTTTATCGATCAGCTCCCAGCATTGATCCACCAGGTTTTGCTCTTCAAAATTCTGAGCTTGTGGCAAGATGCTGAAAACATTCGATGCATCTAAGTTATCCTGCAGATATTCCGTACATTTATCAACCAGTGAAGGTACCATGTATTTCTTCGCCAAATACAATACTCCCATCACATTACTTCCGCTCAAGTTCACTTCATCGCTGT